AATTTATTTGAGAGAGAGAGAACATGGGGAGGGTGGAGAGGCAGAGGGAGAGAGAGAAGCCGATTCCCCACTGAGCAGGGAGGCCGATGTGGGGCTTGATCCCAGGACCCTGAGATCAGGAACTGAGCCAAGGGCAGAAACTTAACCAACTAAGCCACCCAGGCGCCCCTATTTTTCAAATCTTAATCTACCAGTAGTTCTCTCTTTCTCTCTCTCTCTTTTAAAAGATTTTATTTACTTATTTGACAGAGAGTGCACAAGCAGGGAGAGCAGCAGGCAGAGGGAGAGGGAGAAGCAGGCTCCCCACCGAGCAGAGAGCCTGATATGGGGCTCAATCCGAGGATCCCGGGATCATGACCTGAGCTGAAGGCAAATGTTTAACTGACTGTGCCACCCAGGTGACCCAGTACCACACTCTCTTGATTACTACTGCATATTACAAAGTTGTGAAATCAGGAAATGTTAGTCCTACCACTTTGTTTTTCCTTTTCAAGAGTTCTTTGGCTATTCTGGTTCCCTTGCAATTCCATATAATTTAAAAAACCATTTTGACAATTTGTATAAGAGGAAATAAGCTGGGATCATGATAGGTATTGTGTTGAATCTCTAGATCATTTAGGGGCTAGTGCCACTTCAACAATGTTAAGTCTTTTGATCCATTTTCCCATTTATTTACACATTTATTAATTTCTTTCGGTCATGTTTTATAATTTTCTGAGTATTTTGTACATCTTTTGCTAAATTATCCCTAAGTATTTTATTCCTCTTGATTTCATTATAAATGCATTTAATTTCATTATCAGACTGTTCCATTTTTTAAAAAGATTTTATTTATTTGAGAGAAAGAGAGAGCACAAGCAGGGGGAGTGGCAGAGGAAGAGGAAGAAGCAGGCTCCCTGATGAGCAGGAGGGAGCTGACACGGGCTTAATTCCAGGACCCTGGGAACATGACCTGAGCTGAAGGCAGACACTCAACTGACTGAGCCACCTAGGCGCCCCCAGACTATTCCTTACAAGTATATAAAAATACAATTGAGGGGCACCTGGGTGGCTCAGTCAGTTAAGCGTCTGACTCTTGATTTCCACTCAGGTCATGATCTCAGGGTCGTTGGATTAAGCCCCGAGTCGGGCTCTGCACTGGGCATGGAGCCTGAATGGGATTCTCTCTCTCCCTCTGCTCTCTCTCTCTCTCAAAAAAAAAAAAATTAATTTTTATATATTGATCTTGGATCCAACCAATTTGCTGAACTCGATTATCAGGGTTTTTAAAAAAAGATTTTATTTTTAAGTAATCTCTACACCCAATATGGGGCTTGAATTTATAACCCCAAGATCAAGAGTCCCATGCTCTACCAACTGAGCCAGCCAGGCACCCCTCAATTATCAGTTTTAAGAGTTTTGTTTTTTTTTTTTAGTGGATTTTTTAGAGTTTTCTAGAAACAAGATACCTCAGTGGGGAGTAGGTATAGTTTTACATCCTAACCAACCTTAATGCGTTTTGTTTCCTTTTCCTGCATAATAGTTTTAGCTAAAATATCCAGTACATCTGGAATATAAATGGCAAGAGCAGATATCTTTGCTTTGTTCCTTACTTCAGGGGAACACATCCAGTCTTTCACAACTAAAAATAATATTAGTTTGGGTTTTCCATAGATTGTCTTAATGAGGTTAGTTAATTTCCTTTTATTCCTAGTATGCTGACTGCTTTAATCATAAAAGCATATTGCATTTTGTCACTTATTTTCTCTGAGGTTACTGAGATCTTGCTATTTTGTTTTTTACTCTATCGATATCCTTCATTATTACATTAATGGATTTTGAGTTATTAACCCAAGCTTTCATCCCTGGAATGTATCCTACTTAGTCATGGTGTAGAATTTTATGTATTGCTGGATCAAGTTTGTTGGGTCACAAAATGAGTGTGAAGTATTCTCCCCATTCTCATTTGTTTCTACTTATACACTTCTGGTAGGAATGTAACCTCATGCTACCATTGTGGAAAATAGTATGGCAGGTGTTTGTTTGTTAATTTACATGTTTGTTTGTTTTTTAATTTACAGTGTTATCATATGATCCAGCAATTCCGCTTCTGAGTGTATACCCAAAAGAACTCAAAACATGGACTCAAATAGATATTTGTTCACTTGTGTTTGCAAGAGCATTATTTACAGTAGCCATAAAGTGGAAGCAACCCAGTGTCCATCAAAGATGAATGGATAAACAAAATATGGTATACACATACAGCAAAATATTACTCAGCTTTAAAAAGAAATGAAATTCTAACACATGCTACACCATGGGTGAACCTTGAGGACATTATGCTAAGTGAAACAAATCAGTCAAAAAAAGACAAAAACTGTATGATTCCATTTATATGAAGTGCCTAGAGTAATCAAATTCACAGAGACAGAGAGAAGAATGGTGGTTCTCAGGGGTTAGGGGCACAGGGCAATAGGGATTTGTTGTTTAATATGTATAGAGTTTCAGTTTTGCAAGATGAAAACAGTTCTGGAGACTAGTTTCACAGTGTGTTCACACTACTTAACTCTATACTTAAAAATGGATAAGATTTTATAGAATGTGTATATTACCACCCTTAAATGTAAAAAGTTTAAGAGAATGAACACACAACCCACAGAATGAAAGAAAATTTTGCAAATAATATAACTGAAAAGTACTTGTATCAAGAATATAGAGGGACACCTGGGTGGCTCAGTTCATTGAGCATCTACCTCTTGATTACAGCTCAGGTCATGATCTCAGGGTCATGCGATCAAGCCCCATGTCAGGCTCTACACTCAGCATGGAGTCTGCTTGGGATTCTCTCTTTCCCTCTCCTTCTGCCCCCCTCATCACTTGCACACACTCTGGAAATCAATATGGAGATTCCTCAAAAATTAAAAAGAGAACTACCCTACAATACAGGAATCACACTACTGGGTATTTACTCAAAAATACAAAAACACTAATTCAAAGGAGTACATTCACCTCTATGTTTAAGTGGCGTTATTTACAATAGTGAAACTCTGGAGGAAGTCCAAGTGTCCATCAATAAACGAATTGATAAAGAAGAAGTGGTATATATATAATGGAATATTACTCAGCCATAAAAAGGAATGAAATCTTGCCATTTGCAACAACATAGATGGAGCTAGAGAATATAATGCTAAGTGAAATAAGTCAGTCAGAGAAAGACAAATACCATATTATTTCATTTATATGTGGAATTTAAGAAACAAAACAAACAAGCAAAGGAAAAAAGAGAAAGACAAACCAAGAAACAGACTCTTCGGTATTAAGAACAAATTGATGGTTACCAGAGGGAAGATGGATAAGGGCATGGGGGAAATAGGGGATGAGGATAAAAGAGTACATTTATCCGGGCGCCTGGGTGGCTCAGTCGTTAAGCGTCTGCCTTTGGCTCAGGTCATGGTTCCAGGGTCCAGGGATCGAGCCCCGCATCAGGCTCCCTGCTCAGTGGGAAGCCTGCTTCTCCCTCTCCCACTCCCCTTGCTTGTGTTCCCTCTCTCGCTGTGTCTCTCTCTGTCAAATAAATCAATAAAAATCTTTTTTAAAAAGATTTTATTTATTTATTTGACAGAGAAGGAGAGAGAGAGCACACAAGCAGAGGCAGAAGGAGAGGGAGAAGCAGACTCCCCACCGAGCAGGGAGCCCGATGCGGGACTCGATCCCACGACCCTGGGATCATGACCTGAGCCGAAGGCAGACGCCCAACGACTGAGCCACCCAGGCGCCCCAATAAAAATCTTTTTAAAAAAAGATCCCCCCCAAATTGTTCAAATAAGTGGCAAATGCATTAAGAGTTTTGCAATCCAAGGGGAGTGGGGAGGATGGGTTAGCCCGGTGATGGGTATTAAAGAGGGCACGTATTGAATGGAGCACTGGGTGTTATACGCAAACAATGAATCATGGAACACTACATCAAAAACTAATGATGTATGGTGATTAACATAACATAATAAAATAAAATTTAAAAAAAAGTTTTACAATCCAATCTCTTAAGCACATTAATACTTTCCAAGAACATCCCATATTTATATAACCTTTTCTTGTTTCTGGTTGTATCAGTCCGAACAGTTAATCAAATTACTTACAGGTTTTATAACCTTTTATCTAGCACGGTTCTCTAAGGATACATTCAAACAATGATCTGAAATAAATTTCCTTTCATTGTAAAACGTATACCTGAGAATTTAGTCAATACATTTTACAACTTGTGGCTGGTTTTAGAAAAATCCCTGCACCCAGCTGGGACTGGGGTTCCAACTTTCCACCACAGCCAAGTGCTTGGAACGCAATAGGATTTTTAAACTGTGAAGTTAAGGGACGCCTGGGTGGCTCAGTCAGTTAAGCGTCTGCCTTCGGCTCGGGTCATGATCCCAGGGTCCTGGGATCAAGTCCCGCATCGGGTTCCCTGCTCCACGGGGAGCCTGCTTCTCCCTCTGCCTCTGTCTCTCTGTCTCTCATGAATAAATTAAAAAAAAATAATAAAATCTTTAAACTGTGAAGTTAAGTTAGGGTGGGGAAGCGTTGGGTGGAAGAGCCAACGCTGTCAATAGTCAAAGATCAAAATGGAGCCAGGTGACTCTTAAGGGTCTGTATTTGTAAAGCAGGGTCGCAGTTCCACGAGTGGCCCCTCAGCATTACCCTCCAATGTAAAAATCCCGGAGAGAACGAGTTTCAACTGGTGTTCCACAGACACCTCACCTCTGGTGGCCAGCTGTCACTCCCGAGGGAGGGAGGGTGGGTCTCGCAACCTGTCCAATCAGGGGAGACGTCAGGGCAGGTGGGTGGGGCGACGCTCCGCAGGCGCTCAGCGGGAGGCTTCTGGCTCCCGCCATTGTTGGGATCGCGGGTCCCTGCGCTTAAAACTTCCGCCGCGCTCTGCCCGGGATTCTGTCTTGCTTAGACCTGTCCCTTCCCCGAAATCGTAGGTAGAACGCCGGGAGACCCAGGAAAGCTAGAAATGGTGAGTGTGCAGGCCCGGCCTTCCAGAGAGGGAGGCGGAGTGCTGGTTGGAACCGGCCTGAGATGGCCGAGGCGCGAGCTGGCCTCGAAGTCTGTGACTCGAGCCCGTCGGTGGCGCCGCTCCGACCTCAGTCCCCTCCGGCGCGCGGCGTGGGGGCTGGGCCGGCAGCCGGGATCCCGGCGTCCTGTCCCGTCCCTGCGCGCGGCAACTTCGGCCCTCGAGTCTGTGGACAGCTCTGCGCCCGCAGCTCCGCGTCTCCCCGGATTGCGCGGTGACCCCCGGTGACAGGGGACGATCGTGACTGGCTCTCTGGAATTCGTGCGCGGGAGGTGCCATGGTCTGCGGGGCCTCCATTCCCTCCTTTCTCTTCGGAGGGGACCCGTTTTCTCCTGGGTTTTCCAAAATGGTGGGAAACCGAGGGAAATCCACGATCCTGTCGCGGCACCCTCGCCCCCCTCCACCCCGCGCCCAGCTCTCCCTAGGAGTGCCAGTCGTTGCGTAAATTTCCAGATCCCTCCTGGCCCACTTCCCATCTCCAGTTCACAGCGTCACTAGGAACTACTCGTCCTTCATGGTGCATTTCAGACAGACCCAGTATTTCAATTATTTATCTTTTTTTTCCCCCGCTGTCAATGGATGGCGCTTTTAAACGGGGATGGCGTTTTTAAACGGGTTTAGTTTTTGTCCCTGGGTATTTTACGGAAGAGAAAAGTAGCGAATAACCCCCTGGAACAACGTTGTATGAAATCCTTGTGCCCCTCCTCCCAGGATCTTTCCTGGGCACAGACATCCTATGGGAAGTCCTTTGGCTGGAGGTTCCTCTTTGAAACTTTCTTGGGTGACCTGTCCTGTCAGCATGGCCTCGCCCTCAGTTTGTCACCTTTAAACGATTTATTCAATTAACTTCAGTCCAAATTTTTCAATGAATAAAAATTTATTTAATCCACACATCGTGAAAAACAGTGTAAAATATTTCCAGAGTCAAGAAAGGGGTGAGTTCAGGGCAAAAAAAAAAAAATTCTAGTATTACCCTGCAGGTATTATTTTTTACTTTTTTCCTCCCTTGAGTGTGTTACTGATATTCTGAGGTCTGTTCTTAAATTGGGGATGAGTTCCAATGGATTTCCAAGGCTTAGACTTGCAGACCCGTAGTGTTCAACTATGACTAGTAGTTTATAAAACAATTTGTTCTCCTGTTAATAATGAACAGCTTATTATTTATTTATTTTTGTGAATGCAGTCCATACTTGTGAGGTTTCTTGTTGAGCCAGTAAAGTGCCTTACAATTTTTTTCCTTCCTTTTCACATAAACACTGGGTCTGAGTGGTTTGCTGGATTGTTCAAACACTGGGTTTATGTCATTTAAGATATCACTGGTGGTGCAAAGCAATGTCAGTGGCAGGCAGAGGCCTCAGGACGTGTCTCTAAGCTCTCGCCCCCTTGAGCCTTCAAGGGGAAGTATATAATGCCCAGTTTTTCTTCCTGGATAGCCTCGCCTACAGGTGTGTGTTCATTCCTCTGGTTGCTCAGGTGTCCGTATCATTCTTTCCATGTACTGACCCACTCCAGGGCTTCTATCTCCACCAGGAGTGTCTAGAAGGTAGGGCTTGAGCTCATGACCCCAAGATCAGGAGTCACATATTCTACCCACTGAGCCAGCCAGATGCCCCTGGAATGTCCTGAATGTGGCTTTCCTTCTGTCCTGTGGGAAGCAGGCTGCTCAAACGTGCGGATTCTAATATTTCTTGATTTTGGGTTCCGTTACTGAGCCCTTTGGCTCTAGTTTCTTTTAGCACTTGAGCTCTGAAATTGTGAGTTGATTGAGAGATACAATGGGAGGAAAACAAGAAAATTGTGGAACTAAGTAGAATTTGTGTTCTCTTTAGGCAGGAGAACCTCAAGACGTGAGAGGCACTCAATTAAGTTTTCTTAAGGTCATTTTTTATTTTTGGATCAATTAGTGCATGTCCATGCCCCTAGAGAATGCTGACATTCAACAGGCTAAAGCAGTTGAATTCCTGTTTGTTTGTTTTTTTTTTTAAAGATTTTATTTATTTGACAGAGAGGCACAGCGAGAGGGAGGGAACACAAGCAGTGGGAGAGGGAGAAGCAGGCTTCCCGCCAAGCAGGGAGCCCGATGCGGGGCTCGATCCCAGGACCCCGGGATCACGACCTGAGCCGAAGGCAGACGCCTAACGACTGAGCCACCCAGGCGCCCCATTGAATTCCTGTTTTAATTGATGTGAGGAAAACTGCCCAAAGCCTATGTAAATATATGAAAATCCAGTACATGTAAGGAGCTGAACTCAAACACCTAATGTAGGTAATATGCTACTTATTCCTGGAAAATACCGTGTGTGTGATATAGGGGAAGGACAAACTGTGATGCCCCATGTCCTGTTAGTTAGACATTTGAAAATTTTCATAAACCATACAAATGGTTTACACTTTTGTAACCTTTAGTGTTTAAAGGAATTATATCTTAAAATGGTTTCCTGTGTACAAAGTTAAAATGAAATCAAGACTGTTAAATACTTTAATATACATAAATTCGTGTGTGTGTATATATATATATACATATATATATATATTTTAAAGATTTTATTTATTCCAGAGAGAGAGGGGGAAGGAACAGAGGGAAAGAGACAAGCCAACTCCACGCTGAGCGCAGAGCCTGATGCGTGCCTAGATTCCAGGACCCTGAGATCACAACCTGAGCCAAAACCAAGAGTTGGACACTTAACTGACTGAGCCACCCAGGCACCCCAAATTTATATATATTTTAAAAATAAATTTGTGAGATAGGGAGTGTAACTTAAGAAAATCACCGTGAACATATCCTAGTTCCTTCCAGCACTGTTAAGCCCAGCCACCACCAAGTACACAGTTTTGATAATTTCTTGAGCCTCCGATATCCAACAAGCAATTGTGAGTGCATATTATTCTTGCTGATGTTTGTCCTTGTAATGAGCAGTCAGACTTTGCATTTTTGCATGTTTGAGTGCTGACAGGTAAAGCCTCACCTCCCCCCTCTGCCCCCCACCCCTTGTGCTCCCAGCTAGACAAGCCGATGAGAAAGCCTGGGTGGTCTCTCCTCTAGAGCAGGCAGGAGATTCCAACCAGAAAAGCCCCTGCCTGTGTGCAGAACTCTTGCCCCTGCCCCACTCCCTAACCCCAATGAACTCCTTACCCAGCCAGTCTCTTCTTCATTCTTTTGAAGCCATTTCAGAACTGCCTGAGAGGCAGCCTTGCCCTGAGACCTCTGTTACGTGAGTCCTAAGCCTTTTCCTACTGTCTAGGTGCCTGTGTGTGTTGTTGGGGGCTACAGCGCCATCCCCCTTAACTTCCGAACCACTTCTCAGCAGGTGGCCATGACCGTTGATGCCATGAGGAGCATGTACACATGCGACCACCCTTCCATGGATCTGTTTTCTCTCGCTTTAAGTTGCTCACCTGCTCCGCTGCCTCATGGTGGCATGGACTGCTGGGGGCTGGGAGCTCGTGCTGTGCCCTGTGCTGTCCTGTGTTGCATTGGTGACCTAGCAAGCCTCAGTTTTAGATTGAGCCAACCAAAGTTGGCAGTTGTGAGAATTTCTAGGCTTTAGGGAGCAGGACTGTTGGATTGGGGCCCTCCTTACAGTGGTCCTGCATCGATGTCTTTGCTGGTTTCTCTCCCTGTGTTAGAGTGAAGCTGTGACAGAGGCTGGGTTGGCCCCTGTACACCCTATGGAAACAGGTGGCCTCATTCAAAGGTCACTCCTGGGAGAGCAGACATTTGAAAAGAGAAAGAAGAAAGAGAGAGTGAAAGGCAGCCCATAAGTGGTGGGCTGAGTCCACACTCTGAACACCAGATAGTTGAATGGGACCTTTGAGTATCTCTGCTGCTCCTGCCCCTGCCTCTTCTGCAAGAAGTATCCTGACTCTGTGGATTTTTGGGGACAACATCCATGGCTCCCTGTGGCACAGCAAAGGGATTAGTCCAAAGCTGACTTAAGCTCCTTGTCCTTAAACCCATTAAAACAACCAGGTATCACGGGGAAGGCTCCTAACCCTGAGGGCCCTGATTTGAGACTCTTAGGAGGAAACCATTTATAAATACCAGGGTAGAGAGGCACCCCCCTGCCAAAGTATATCCAGGGACAAAGAAAAGAGGGATACTCAAGGATGGGACTAATAGATAAAATACTGAAACAAAGGACCACAATTTAACCGAATTGGAAATCCAAAATGTACAAAAAGAATTTATACAACAAAAAGAATTTATACAGCAGATAAGAATGCACTGCTCGACTTTTCAGCCTATACAGCATAAGTTCTGGATTAATTTTGCTATCTGATGTAATTCATTAACTCAGAAACCATTAAACAATCAATGAATACTAGGTCTCAAATTATAGTTATACCTAGGATCCCACTACATTTTTTTTTTTTTTTTTAGATTTTATTTATTTATTTGAGAGAGAGAATGAGATAGAGAGCATGAGAGGGGGGAGGGTCAGAGGGAGAAGCAGACTCCCTGCCGAGCAGGGAGCCCGATGCGGGACTCAATCCTGTGACTCCAGGATCATGACCTGAGCCGAAGGCAGTCGCTTAACCAACTGAGCCACCCAGGCGCCCGGATCCCACTACATTTAAGCAGGGTACCTTTGATGGTCTCACGGGTCACTGAATAGGATATAGGGGACAAACAGCACAGCTGTTTCTTCTTCTTCTTTTTTTTAAGATTTTATTTATTTGACAGAGAGAGACACAGTGAGAGAGGGAACACAAGCAGGGGGAGTGGGAGAGGGAGAAGCAGGCTTCCCGCGGAGCAGGGAGCCCGATGCAGGGCTCGACCCCAGGACCCTGGGATCATGACCTGAGCCGAAGGCAGACACTTAACGAGCCACCCAGGCGCCCCGCAGCTGTTTCTTCTTGACCATCAGAACTATGGTCCTGAAATTCTCCATGGTCACAGCACTGTCCTAAAATAACCCATAGTGATCTAGGAAGCTCTGAACCAATGATTCATAAATTAAATAAGGCCCTTGCCACTTACAAATTGTCTTCACAAAATGAGACCTCTTGGACTGTACCCTCTAAGTAGAGTGGTTCATATGGCCCGATGTAAATTGCATAGGCCCTTGAATGATTGAAGCCATATACAAAACCTGTTTAGTGAAGGGTTGATTATTCCCAGTGCTTCTCCTTTGAACAGCGAATTTGACTTATTCTTTTTTTTTTTTTTTTTAATTTTATTTATTTGAGAGAGAGACTGAGAGAGAGAGAGCATGAGATGGGGGAGGGTCGGGAGGGTCAGAGGGAGAAGCAGACTCCCCGCCGAGCAGGGAGCCCGATGCGGGACTCGATCCCGGGACTCCAGGATCATGACCTGAGCCGAAGGCAGTCGCCCAACCAACTGAGCCACCCAGGCGCCCGAATTTGACTTATTCTTTACCTTGAACGAATGAATGACACCTCACAGTGGATTACGGCTGTGGATTACAGTGGATTACGACTGTGGATTACAGTGAATTACGACTGTGTACACCGTAACTGTGGTCACACTCAATGGACCTCTATACCCAGTCCCCAACTCTATGGAAATTATTGACTCAACCAATCAACAACTGGGTAAATATCCTGCGGTCACAGATTGGGTGGGGTCTGTTCTGTTCAGTGCTTATCTCAACAGCCTCGCAGCTGCAGTGGCCTTCATCTTGAAGGGACACAATACACCTTTCCTGGGTTATCCTCGTGGATCTTCAGCAGTTTTGCCCTCCCACACAGTCACTGAAGGCAAAGATCTGAACTGCATCCTGGTTTCTCCAAGAACACAGGTACCACATTACATTAATGATCTCCTCCTCTGAGGACATGCTAGAGAAGCAAACGTTGAGAAAAGGAGCTAGCAAAATGTGGATAGGGCATTGTCGTGCATAAAATGTGAGGCCTGGTCAACCTTGTTATTTTACTGGAAATTGTTTGATAATCTGACACCCACTCCCTCTCTAACATTATGAGGAAAAAGCTGTTCTCTCTGTCAGCACCCACAACATCTACTATGTTCCGGAGGTAACATACTTCTTGTTTACCAATTTTACTTGAACCCATTTATGCTGTTAATTACAAATGGGTGTCCGTACCTTAAAAGGCTGGAGATTCTTGAGACCGCCACTGAACTGGCCCTGGTAGTGCCCACAGACTTCTTCACTTGGATGCTTCATTGACCTCCTTTCATGCCTCCTGGAGTTACCCATGATGGCCTTGAAAAAGGCTGCTCTTTGACCAGCTTGAGACATGGGGCAAACCTTGGAACTTTGGGATAGCCACACACAGGAGGGCATGGCCCACTCTCTCCTCAGTCTCTTGTAAGATGCCATGGTGCTGGAGGAAGTCCCCCTTTTCCCAGACCCCTGGGTTCTCTGGGAAGCTCCATAGGAGTACCGGAGTGAAAAGCAATGGGAGTTCATAGACTTTAGGTATGAAATCACCACATTCATACATAATGGAGTTTAGGCAGAACTGCTGCTTCTTATGTCTGAATTAGGATCAGACCAGAGGGTCGTCACAACTTACCATACATCAGTGAGTCATCTTAGCACGAGGTGACAATTGACACCATCTTCACCTGTTTACTAGTCTTGAGTGATTCTCTGAGTTGCCACACTGGGGTGAAAGAACGGAATCCTGTGTCTCCATTACCCCCAATATAAATCAAAGTAACACTTGTCTGTATATATATTAAGGCCAGAATACAAGGCCTTGCCAGGACACATACAATCATTGTCGGAGTCCAGATGGTACTGAAAGTAACAAAGGCAGTCATTTCACTTCTCAAAATACACTGTGCTGGACACTCTAACAAGGCATTCAATGGACGTTTCTCCTCTCTTCCAAGTCTCAGGGTGCAGACGTCATGAAGCACCATAATGGCTTACTGAAATAAGTTGAAATACATTGAAAGATGGTCTGTGCCTGTCATGGGTTAGTTATCAGGTGTGAATATTAATGTGTCCGTCTTTTTCTTTTCCTAGTAGACTTTTTTTTTTTTTTTTTAAGAGCAGTTAGGTTTACAGGAAACTTAATCAGAAAGTACAGAGACTTCCCACATAACCCCTCTGCCTGGACACAGTTTGTTCTATATTTTATATCTTGTATTGTTGTAATACATAGGTTACATTTGTTGAACCAACTTTGATGCATGAAAGTCCATACATTAAGGTTGACTCTGTGTTATATAATCTAAGGTCCTCAGCTAATATGAAATGATTTGTCTCCATCATTTTTGTATCCTATAGAATACTTTCACTCTCCTGAAAATCTCCTGTTCTCTACCTAGTTATTCACCCTCCTTCCCACCCCAAAGGCCAGGTTACCAAAGATCTTTTGATGCTTTTTAATTTTCTCTTTTCTGGGAAATGCCCTATGCTTGGAATCATAGTGTGTAGCCTTGTTATATTGTCTTCTTTCACTTAGAATATGATTTTAAAATGTTCTCATGTCTTTTCACTTGATAACCTCATTTCTTTCATCACTGTAGAGTATTTCATCCAGGGGATATACCAGTGATTTTTTTTTATCAGTTTGCCTATTGTAATTATCTTGGTTCCATGTAAGTCATGACAAGTGTGCATAAAGCTCCTATAAACATTCACATGTAGGATTTTTATGAACATAAGTTTTAAATTCATTTGTGTACATTTGAAACACGTAATTACTGCATGGTATGGTAAATGTAGCCTTAGTGTTAAGAAACTGCTTTTCTTCCAAAGTATACCATTTTCCGTTTCCACCAGCGATGACGGTTTGATGTTCTCATGATGTTTAGCCATTCTAATAAGCAGCTGGTGACATCTCATTGTTCTTTTTATGTGCAATTTCCTAATGAGATATGATTTTGAAATTGTTTTCATGTGCTTATTTACTCTCTATATCACTGATGAGGTTTGTGTTCAGATATTTTCCCATCTTTATTTGGATTGTTTCTTTTTGTTGCATTTTAAGAATATTTTGCTTGTGTTCAATACCAGTCCTTTATCAGATAAGTGATTTGGAAAGATTTTCTGCCAGACTATGGCTTGTGTTTTCATTCTGTTAACTTCTGTTTCACTGAGTAGTTTTTCATTGTAATGAAAACTTTTTTCTTTTTTTAAAGAAATTAATCATCAAATACCACATCACAAGGATTTTCTCCTATTTTTTCTTTTAGGAGTGTTGAAATTACACAATCTACACTAAGATCTGTGATCAAATTTGAGTTAATTTTTGTGAAAGGTGTGAAGTCTGTAGATTTAAAACTTTTTTTTGCATGTGGATGTCCAGCTTTTTGACATTATTTGTTGAAAAGACTGTTTCCATTGAGTTACCTTTGGTTCTTTGTCAAAGATGAGTTCACTATATTTGTGTAGATCTGTAGGAAAGCAATAGCCTTTTCAGTATTAACTTTATATGTGTGTGTATATATATATATATATATATTAAGATTTTATTCATCCATCTGACAGAGAGAGAGAGCACAGGGGGAGCGGCAGGCAGAGGGAGAGGGAGAAGCAGGCTCTCCAATGAGCAAGGAGCCTGATGTGGGGCTTCATCCCAGGACCCTGGGATCATGACCTGAGCCAAAGGCAGACATTTAACCAGCTGAGCCACCCAGGCACCCCAACTTTTTACATACTTATTTTTAATTTTTTGAAGTAGGCCCCATGCTCAGTGTGGGGCTTGAACTCACTACCCTAAGATCAAGTGTTGCACACTCTACTAACTGAGCCAGCCAGGCACCCCAATATTAACTTTTTTAAAAAAGATTTTATTTATTTATTTGAGAGAGAGAATGCACACGTGAGAGAGCACAAGTTGGGGGAGGGGCAGAGGGAAAAGGAGAAGCCTACTTCCTGCTGAGCAGGGGGCCTGATGTGGGGCTTGGTCCCAGGACCCTGGGATCACGACCTGAGCTGAAGCCAGACACCTGACTGAGCCACCCAGGTGCCCCTTAACTTTTAAATTTATTTTTTAGAAAGATTTATTTATTTTATTTTTTTTATTTTATTTTATTTTTTTATTTTTTTGTTAAAGATTTTATTTATTTATTTGAGACAGAGAGAATGAGAGACAGAGAGCATGAGAGGGAGGAGGGTCAGAGGGAGAAGCAGACTCCCTGCCGAGCAGGGAGCCCGATGCGGGACTCGATCCAGGGACTCCAGGATCATGACCTGAGCCGAAGGCAGTCGCTTAACCAACTGAGCCACCCAGGCGCCCTAGAAAGATTTATTTATTTTAGAGAGAGAGAGAGAGAGAGAGAGTGCAAGCAAGGGGAGGGGAGGGGTAGAGGGAGAAAAGCAGGCTCCCTGCTGAGCGTGGAGCCCCACGGGCCTGATCCCATGACCCTGTAATCACAACCTGAGCGGAAACCAAGAGTTGGATGGACACTCAGCCAACTGAGCCACCCAGGCTCCCCTAGCTTTTTATCTTTTTTTTTTTCCTCTTGGTTCATGGGGTTTTCTTTGTTATTTGGGATTTTTTTGACATTTTATCAATTGACAATCTTGTCATGATACAAAGACAGTTTTATTTCTTGCTTCCCCAAATGTATACCTTTGATTTTTCATTATTTACCTTTTATTCCCCTTGTCTGAATGCATTAGCTAAGAATTCCAGTATAATGTCATCTAAGTGTCGTGAGAGGGGACATTCTTGCCTTCATCCTGAGGTTACCAGAAAGCATGTAGTTTTTTCAGAATAGTTCACTTATATTAAATAACATCCCAGTTGATGTAGAGGTACATGGGGTCAGTGGGGAGGTATTCTCTTACCTCAGTGATTTGCTCTCAATCTTTTAGTGGGCCCTTGTCCCTGGGCTTGACTTACTGTGATATAATGAGAAAGATATACAGTAAGTGTCCTCAGTTCCTAGCAAAAATCCTTTTGAATCCCTTGAGATTACTTGAGTGTTAATGGTGAAAGTGTGTTTTGTTTAATGAAGCAACTCTTGGCCACTTACTAGGTAGCTTTTATGATGGGGTTTTGGATACCTGAAATAGCAAGCCTTTTTTTTTTTTTTTAAAGATTTATTTATTTATTTATTTGAGAGGAAGAGAGAGCGAGGAGGAGCAGGGGGAGGGGCAGAGGGAGAGGGAGAAGCAGACTCCCCGCTGAGCAGGGAGCCTGAGTGGGGCTAGATCCCAGGACCCTGGGATCATGACCTGAGCCAAAGTCAGACGTTTAATCAACTGAGCCACCCAGGTGCCCCCTGAAATAGCAAGCTTTGATTAAATGTTTAGAATGTTGAGCTGCAGCTCCCAGCTGCTGGGTATAGGACAGGGGCTGGAAATTGAGTTAATCACCAATGGCCAATGATTTAGTAAATTGTGTCCATGTAATGAAACCTCCATCAGAATTCTTTTTTTTTTTTTTTAAAGATTTTATTTATTTGCGAGAGAGAGAATGAGACACAGAGAGCATGAGAGGGAGGAGGGTCAGAGGGAGAAGCAGACTCCCTGCCGAGCAGGGAGCCCGATGTGGGACTCGATCCCGGGACTCCAGGGTCATGACCTGAGCCGAAGGCAGTCGCTTAACCAACTGAGCCACCCAGGCGCCCCCATCAGAACTCTTAAAGACAGGATTCTGACAGTTTGTGCATTGGTGAATCCATCCAAGTGCTGGGAGGTTGGTGTGTCCATAGCGAGGTAGGAACTCTGCACATCCCCTTCTCCATTACCCTTACCCATACCACCAACTTAACTCGTCCTATGCATTGCAACTTTTCTCTGTTCCTGCGTTGTATGCTTTACAGTAAACTGGTAATGGTAAATAAAGCATTTTGCTAAGTTTCTCAAAATCATTTCAGTAAATTAACAAGACAGAGTGTGGAGGGAATCTGAATTTGTAGTTGGCTGTTGAAATAGTAAACTTGGCTCCCCATTTGTAGCTGGTATCACAAATAGGGGCAGTGTTGGGACTGACTTCTTAAACTATGAATCTGACTTAAATTCTGGGTAGTTTATGTTAGAAGTGAACTGTTGGACACCTTTTTGGTGACATAGAATTGGAGAAGTGGCTTTGGAACAAATACCACATATTTGCTCAGGAGTGAGCAAACCCTATCATCCTTACAATGCCCCACCTTTGGAACAGGAAGGAAAGAAATACCTTTGTCCCCCCAGTTTACTTAGGCTCTGGAAATCATATGTGAACTACTTATAAATCGAGTATAGGTCTTCAGTGGTCCATCTCACCCATCCTATATACATATATATGGGATTATTTAGGACTCAGTGGCCTTTGAGGATGTGACTATAAAGTTCACCATGGAGGAGTGGGCTCTCCTGGATCCGTCCCAGAAGAAACTCTACAGAGATGTGATGCAGGAAACCTTCAGGAACCTGGCCTCAATAGGTAGGAATGACAACATTCTTACTTACTAAATCAATTAGAGATCCAATGTAACTTGCTATTTCAAGGGAAAAAAATGGAAAGGGAATATTTTCATTAATAAACCTGCCATGGTCACAACTCATCATGGACCTAGAATTCTAACAATTTTTCTATAAATTTTTATAATATATACTGCTTTTTCCTAGTGTGTATTTCAGAAGAAAAATGGGAAATCCATGACAGTGAAGATCAGAATGAAAATCGTGGGACAGATCTAAGGTGAGTAGCATTCTCATGAGAAAACAAGGTTTCATTAGAGAATCTAGAGATGTCATGAAATTTTAAAAACAAGCAAATAGGGGCGCCTGGGTGGCTCAGTCTTTAGGCATCTGCCTTCAGCTCGGGTCATGATCCCAGGGTCCTGGGATCGAGCCCCGCGTCGGGCTCGCTCCTCAGTGGGAAGCCTGCTTCTCCCTCTCCCACTCCCGCTGCTTGTGTTCCCTCTCTCGCTGTCACAGTCTCTGTCAATAAATTAAAAAAAAAAAAATCTTTTTTTAAAAATATATTTTATTTATTTGACAGAGAGAGAGACAGCGAGAGGGAACACAAGCAGGGGGAGTGGGAAAGGGAGAAGCAGGCTTCCCACAGAGCAGGGAGTCTGATGCGGGGCTAGATCCCAGGACCCTGGGATCATGACCTGAGCCAAAGGCAGACGCTTAACGACTGAGCCACCCAGGCGCTCCTAAAAAAAAAAAAAAATCTTAAAAAAAAACAAGCAAATAAATCAGCCCAGCTTTAAATTCATTGATCCTTAGGATATTTTCACCAAAAGTTTTTTCTCACATGTGACCGAGATGTACAGTTTCTGAAAAACAGTATATCTGGAAACTGCATGTAGAAATAGTATTTATGAATATTACTGTTTTGATAATAGCTAAGATGGAGCCCTGTTGTAAAGCTGTCAGTATGTTCATTTTCAAACAATCAAAATATGCAGAAAACCTACATTTTCCTTGAAGGTGGTAAAAAAATCACTGTCATAATTAATAAATAACAAAATAAATAACAAAGCTATTAATATGTTTCCCATTTTTTACAGCAGTCAAATGGTAGAAAGGCTCTGTAAAAGTAAAGAATGTAGTCAGTATGAAGAAATCTTCAGCCAGATTCCATATCGTAATCAGAAGAAGAAAAGTCCTACTGGAATAAAACTACCTAAATGCACTTTGTGTGGACAAGTCTTCATGTATCATTCATCCTTTAACAAGCACATGAGATCTCACATTGGCCACAAACCATATGAGTATCAGGAATGTGAAGAGAAGCCTTATAAATGTAAGGAATGTGGGAAATCCTTCAAGCATCGCCAATCCATTCGAATGCATGAAAGGACACACACCGGACAGAGGCCCTATGAATGTAAACACTGTGGGAAAGCTTTTATTTGTCACAATTACTTTCAAATTCATGAAAGGGCACACAGTGGGGAAAAGCCCTACAAGTGTACAAAATGTAGTAAAACCTTTAGTTACTCAAGTAACTTACGTAAACATGAAAGGACTCATATTGGAGAGAAACCTAGTGAATGTGAGCAATGTGGTAAAGCTTTCAGTTGTCTCAGGTCCTTTCGAATACACGAAAGGATACACAGTGCCAAAAAGCCTAAGGAATGTACAAAATGTGGTAAAACCTTCAGTTATTCAAGTAATTTACGTAAACATGAGAGAAGTCATAATGGGGAGAAACCCTATGAATGTAAGGAAGGTGGGAAAGCCTTGCATTCTCTTACCAAATTTCGACGATACATGATCAAGCAAAGTGGAGATGGACTCTATAAATGTAAGGAGTGTGGGAAAGCCTTCAGGTGTCCCAAAAATTGTCGTAGTCATGAAATGACACACAGTGGAGTAAAGCCCTATGAATGTAAGGAATGTGGTAAAGCTTTCAGTTCTCCCAGGTCCCTTGGAAAACACAGAAGAATTCATACTGCAAGGAAGCCTCATGCATGTAAGGAATGTGGTAAAGCTTTCCGTTATCCCAGTTCCCTTCGAAATCATGAAAGAACTCATACTGGGGAGAAACCTTATAAGTGTAAGGAATGTGGGAAAGCTTTCAGTTGTCCCAATTACTTTCGAATTCATGAAAGAACTCACACCGGAGTCAAGCCATATGAATGTAAGCAATGTGGAAAAGCTTTCAGTTGTCCCCAGTCCTTTCGAATACACGAAAAGACACATAGTGCAGAAAAACCCTTTGAATGTACAAAATGTGGTAAAGTCTTCAGATATTCAAGTAACTTACGCAAACATGAGAGATCTCATACTGATGACAAACGCTATGAATGTAAACTATGTGGTAAGGCCTTCAGCAGTCACTATTATGTGCAAAAACATGAAAGAACTCACACTGGAGAAAAGCCTTATGAATGTAAGGAATGTGGGAAAGGCTTCATTTTTCGCTCAGGTGTTCGATCACACATGGTAATCCACACTGGAGATGGACCTTACAAATGTAAGAAATGTAAGAAAGCATTTATTTCTCCCAGTTCATTACGAACGCATGAAAGAACTCACACTGGAGAGAAACCTTATCAATGTAAAACTTGTTGTAAAGGCTTCAGTCTTGTTAATTCTTTACGAAATCATGAAAGAACTCATGTGAAAGAAAGTCTGTGAAAATAAGGAATGTAAGAAAGCTGTCATCTGTTGTATAGTCTTTCATGCATGCTGGAGAGAAATTACAGAAATGTACGGAATGTAGGAAAGCCTGTTTTTTTCAGAACTTACCAAAAAAGTCAGTGGAGAGAATTCCATTGGTGGTAAACAATGTAGGAAATCTTCATTTGTCTCACATCACGGAAAAACCAGGTTAGATTATTCACTGAATTCATACTATAGAGCTAACAAAAACTATAATTTTTACAGATATTTTCAAGGTAGTGTGGAAATTATATGGGAAAGAAGTAATATGGGTAAGCTTTGTGAACATGAATTCATGTAGAATACTTCTGAAAATCTACAACATTAAAGAAATGTAATGTTATATGGTCTTTATCAGGTATTCATTCTTAAAGTAATTCTTTGTACCATGGACTTCCACTTACTTTTGCAAGCAGATATTGAAGTGAGATAATTATGTAGGTACTTTTAAAGCGAGAGTTCCTAAGTTTAGAAAGTAAATTTTTCCTTAGTAATATTTTTGTATTCTTATTTTGAAGTCTGTTGGGTCCATGGGTAATTGAAGTATATTTCTAATATGCAAGTAAGTTTAATTTTTATATTTAATATTCTGTAAGGAAAGGAATGTTGAGAAGTAACACTTTCATACTTCCCTTTCTCTGGTGCCCTCCTGTGGGGCAAGTACTCAATATGCTTTAGCCATTATTTCTATATTCTGCATTTCTTTATTATCAGAAAGTTCCCTTCTCATTGGCCTGAAGAGCCTTATTCTGTTTTCCTAAATAGTTGCCATATAGTTGTGAGTATGCAAAGTTCATCATACAGTATATTCTCACATGAATTATTATTTTCTTCTTTTGTCCTTTGTTCTTTGTCATTGGTTATGGCCGGGACTTGGAGTATAGAGTTACATTAAGAACAGAGGCCTGTGTGAGATAGAATAATAAATCTAGAGTTGGAGATGACCCTCCTTGGTGCTGTTAATGTCAAAGTCAGTAATGTGAACTACTGTTCCTAGAATCTGTTGCATTTATGGTTTCATGTTAGAATTCACCAAAGCCTAATGTACATGAAACTTGGAATACAGAAGTGAAATAGGATTAAGCACATTTCTCAGCCACCTGTAGAGAGGTAGGTAGAAGCATACACCTTCACAGACATGTGCTCCCAGCCTGTTTTCCTCATTTTTTCCCCTGGCAATCAAGAATAATCTGAAAACCACCAACAACTGCTTGACTTCCATTTGATCTGAGCAGTAGGCTTCTACACTTGTCTCCAGAGTTCTACATCAAAGATCCAGCATGGGTTTAAATTTTCCTGCAAGCCCTCAGGTATCCACAGATTTAGATTGTTATGGTTGAGAATGTTCTCTGAAGTGCTACTCCCCTCTTTTCTAGATTTTATTCATATAAAGTCTAATTTGTATAGTAAACATATTTTTCTGTTAACACCACTATTGACTGTGTACTTTTGGGATGATGGAGTGTTCTCTTTCTTGAGAGTGTTATAATTATGCATTTGTGAAAATGCATAGGGGTGCCTGGGTGGCTTAGTCGTTAACTGTCTGCCTTCAGCTCAGGTCATGATCCCAGGGTCCTGGGATTGAGACCCGCATCGGGCTCCCTGCTCCGTGGGAAGCCTGCTTCTCCCTCTCCCACTCCCCCTGCTTGTGTTCCGGCTCTCGCTGTGTCTGTCTCTGTCAAATAAATAAATAAAATCTTAAAGAAAAAAGAAAATACATAACTACTCTTAAATTATATGTGTATATTTACTAAAAGCAATTAATAGAAAATGGTAAAAATGGTTTCACATGCTAGGAAAATGTTAAAACCCTAACTTTGATTTCTTGTGTGCAGTACATCCTCCAGCATGTGGTCCTTCTTAGGAAGTAGTCTAAGAAGTGGGGAAGAAGGACATAGGCCACTATAGACCTGTCTTGGAACACAGCCTAGAGTTAGAAAACACACTACAGGCCTATACTTACCCTCATGTCATACATGTAACTGGTAAGAAAGTGATAAGACTCTCCTGGTGCCACCTTTAACAGCAGGATTCTCAGATCATATCCTGAGAATGCTGTTTCCTGAAACAAAAGTGCATGTAACAGAGATGCTGGTGGGAGCTGCCTGGATTTATCCTAATCTAATCTTTGGTTATCAGCATCAAGTCCTCCGAGAGTGGGTCTTGAGGCCATTTCCAGATGTTAAGTTTCCCATCTCTTACCTTCTTACCTTCTTGCCTTCTCTGTGCCAGGTTGCTGAGAAACAAGTTTAAGTCATATATATATGTATATATAAAATATATACATATATATAAAATATACACATATATACGTATATAATATATAATTTATATTATATATTACATATATATTATATAGAGAGAGAGGTAGAGAGAGACTCTTAAGCAGGCTCCATGCCCAGAACAGAGCACCACCTTGGGCTGGATCTCACGACCCTGAGATTATGACCTGAGCCGAAATCAAGAGTTGGATTTTAACCGACTGAGCCACCCAGGTGCCCCCCAGGTTTAAGTTTAATGCAACACCTGTACTACTCTGGAAATGTTCTTGGTTGCAACCCCAGGTGACTGTGAAGTGAAGCTGTGGAAGAACTCAGAACGCAGGTCAGGAGGCACAGGCCCCTCAAGCATAATAATCCCTACTGCCCCATAAACATCAGCTATGCACCAACAAGCACCATTTCACAATAGTCTCAAAACCTCCAGGGATGTCAAAAAAGAGAACCCTGCTTTGTTCTAGTCCCACGAGGACATCAGGTGCCCTGCTGTCCCTAAACCTCCCGCCTTGAGTTCTGTGGCCCAGGCCACCTTGAGGTTTCAGCTGCCCATATGCTGACTAAGCCCAGTTTCCCTCGCCTAAGAGCCTCCCTCCAGAGTGAGTTTGGAGCTAACCCCCCAAGGCCCAGGCCTACCCTTTTCTGGAATAGGACTCACTCTATACAGAGTTCTGGCTGGTGGTCTGTGGGAAATGGAGGTCTCTGACAGACCCTCCATAGCCCTGAGTTTCCCTTTTTAAACATGGCCCCCAGAATGCAACAGGGTCCAACGTTAAAAAAGTGGCAGGAACACGGGGGTTTCCCTCCTTCCCGAAAGCCCCAGGCGCAGGAGGTGGTGCCCTCCTTTGTCAGAGGCCACACCATCTGATTCTTGAAGAGGCAGAAATGGGTTGTGGAACATCTTTTTTTTTTTTTTTTTTTAAAGATTTTATTTATTTATTTGAGACAGAGAGCATGAGAGGGAGGAGGGTCAGAGGGAGAAGCAGACTCCCCGTCGAGCAGGGGGAGCCCGATGCGGGACTCGATCCCGGGACTCCAGGATCATGACCTGAGCCGAAGGCAGTCGCCCAACCAGCTGAGCCACCCAGGCGCCCGGGTTGTGGAACATCTTGACATGGTCTTGCAACAGCATCCAGTGCTTTCCTGAGCTTACAAAGTGATCTCTCTGTGGCTGTGAGACCTGGGGTCTAGGTCCTGAGGCTGCCACGCTCCCCACCAGCAGACGTTAACTAGGATAGACATCGTGGCCTCAGTGAGGACAGGCCCACACGGCTGACCAGAGTGAGGTCTGCACACAGGTGAGGCCTCAGGCGGACATGGATACCATACTGAGGAAAACTCAGCAGAGGACATGGCAGCTGAGGGGGGAGATACCAATCTGTGCTCCCCTCCGTGAATCCACCAAAGAAAAGCAAAATGCGGGGCACCTGGGTGGCTTAGTTGGTTAAGCGTCTGACTGTTGGTTTCGGCTCAGGTCATGATCTCAGGTCATAGGATCATGCCCCGCATGGGGCTCTGTGCTCAGCAGGGAGTCCGCTTGAGATTCTCTCTCTCCCCCTCTGCCCCTCCCACCCTAACATAAATAAATAAATCTTAAAAAAAAAAAAAGCAAAATGAGGACATGTAATGTCATGAGGGGTGTGTTTCTGGATGCAATTATAGCAGCATGAGGGGCTGGCACACGGTGGCTCCAGCTGTCATGGGCCCCAACTCACCTCTTGAGGCTCCTGAGTTGCGTTCTTTTATTTTTATTTTTTTTCTTTTTTTCTAAAGATTTTATTTATTTATTTGACAGAGAGACAGTGAGAGAGGGAACACAAGAAGGGGGAGTGGGAGAGGGAGAAGCAGGCCTCCCGCTGAGCAGAGAGCCCGATGTGGGGCTCCATCCCAGGACCCTGGGATCATGACCTGAGCCGAAGGCAGACGCTTAACGACTGAGCCACCCAGGTGCCCCTGAGTTGTGTTCTTTTAGAGATGGCCTTGTATGGTTTCTGCTTAGGAAGTGTGAAGTCACTGGACCATCAGGAGGGGCACATGGATCCTCCTTTGGGGGTTTGTTTGGGGGCCAGGTGAGACCTCTCTGTCACATGGGAAGGAGATGAGAACAATTCACTCTGCTATGATCAAGACAAGCAGACATGGTTCCTATGATGAGGTTGGGGTGTGTGAGTGTCTGTGAGGCCAGTTAGTCAATAAGGGTCGATCTCCAGTGTAACAGGCTCTCTAGTAGGTGCTGCAGTGAATGATATGAAGCAAATATCCTTGTCCTCTTGAGGCTGACATTCTAGGAGACCAGAAACAAGACATGCAAGTAAGATACGTAATGTATCAGGTGGTGCTTAGTCCTAAGGAGGGAGAGAAAGCTTCAGGGGAGTACAGAGGGCCTGGGCTGGGTGCCTCTGGGCCATTATCTCTGGGGGTTCGTGAATTTGGGTGTCTGTGTGTCCACAAAAATGTGCCACGACAGTCTGTGATTCCATATGTCAGCCTGGGAAGGTATGCATATATGTTCTCTGGAACCTGGAATGCTTTCATTTTTTTTTTCTTGCCTAATTGCCCTTGTAACACCTCTATTACACATTGAAATGAACTGGTGAGAGTAAACTTTTTTGTCTTTTTTCTGATCTTAGAAAACTTTTATTTTTGGGCGCCTGGGTGGCTCAGTTGGTTAAGCAACTGTCTTCGGCTCAGGTCATGATCCTGGAGTCCTGGGATCGAGTCCCGCATCGGGCTCCCTGCTTGGCAGGGAGTCTGCTTCTCCCTCTGACCCTCCCCCCTCTCATGCTCTCTCTCTCTCATTCTCTCTCTCAAATAAATAAATAAAATCTTTAAAAAAAAAAAAAGAAAACTTTTATTTTTTCACCATCAAGTATTTGTTAGCTCTGGGTTTTTCATTGATTACCTATTTCATGCTGACATAGCTTTTTGAGGTAGTTTATCACAGTTTATTGAGTGTTTTCCTTGTGAAGGTAGGTTGAACTCTGTCAAATGCTTGTTTGTGTTAGTTGAGATGATTCTGTAGTTCTTGACATTTATTCTATTAATGGTTCGTTGCATTAATTCATTTTCAGATGTAAAACCAACATTGTTTCCATGGTTTGAATCCCAAGTAGTCATGATGTTTAGGTCATTTTATATATTGCTGGAATCAGTTTACTAGTATTTTGTTGTGGCTTTTTTCATGTATATTAAAAGGAAGTATTTGTGTACTGTATTATAATGTTGTATATAGTATAAAATCATCCAATATGGTACGGCGTATACTTTTACAGACTAGTATTTTAGTGTTAGTAGCATAATGGGTATCATTACCATGTTTGTCCATGGAGTTATTCAAATAAGCCATTCACATACCCCCATGGCTTACAGGAGCACCTCACCAAGTTGATACCGCACAGCCCACCTCACTTTGCTCCCGTTTGTTTTCTCTGCTCCAGAGTGGAACTGAAGTGTCAGTATATGTTTCCAAAAATTGAAGTAATTTATTAGCCTGACAATTGAAATGAGTCTGTCCAGTTTGACTTTTATTATGTGCAAACGCATATGTGACCCTCCGTTGTATTCGAGTCGTTACGGGGCATAATTATCCTAGAGTGCTTTATCCCAAAGGGGTGACCTTAGATAAGGAGTTCTTGGTGCCAGGCAGCTAGATCATGGGCAATGGCCTAAAGGTCTGTAAAAATGTGAAGATAAAGTAGACTGTTGGCCAGGAGCTCCTCCAGCATGATTTTCTGGAGTATAATTAATCCTCCTGCCCACTGGGTCCTGTCTTTGATCAGGGATGGCCTGGTTAAGGACAGAGAGCAGTTGTCCCATGTTCTCCATCACATGTGCTGGCGCTGTGCTACCATGGATATTAAAACAGGTGCAAGATACAGTCTTAAATGAACAGGAGAGCAAAGTTTATTTCAAAATGTAAACCATGTCACCTCTGCATATCAAAGAGAAGAAAGAAAAATATGTACTTTAAATTGCTCCTTTTTACATAACCGCTGAAAAGACAAGAAACAGATTATGTTGTTATCTACAGGAGCATGGGGAAACTAGATGCCAATGCCAGAAGACATGCTGGGAGTGTCTTTAGGTACATGTCTACATCTCAGGCTAAGTTTCTAAACTTGATAATCACAATAAACAATTCATGAAAAAAAAGTCTGTATTATCCCCATATTTGTGCACATTACCCATATTGATTTATAGGTCACTTAGAGTTACATTTATTGATTTATTGATCACTTACTGATCTAGATAAAAAGAAAAGATTCAAATGCGTACAATCAGGAAGAGGGACATTGCTACTGACATTACAGAAAGAAAAGGATGATAAAAGGATTTAATGAACAATTGTATAGCAACAAATTAGATAACTCAGATGAAATGGACAAATTCCTTAAAACAACAAACTAATGAAACTACCTCAAGAATAAATGGGAAATCTGAACATCTCTGTAACAAGTGAAGGGGTTGAATTAGTAAACAAAGAACCACCACAAATTAAGCCTAGGCCCAGATGGCTTCAACACAGAATTCTCCAAAATATTCAAAGATTATTTAATACCAATCCTTCACATCTCTTTTAAAAATTAAAACGGAGGGGCGGCTGGGTGGCTCAGTCAGTGAAGCGTCTGCCTTTGGCTCAGGTCATGATCTCAGGGTCCTGGGATCAAGCCCCGCCTTGGACTTTCTTGCTCAGCGGGGAGTGTGCCCCTCCCTCTTCCTCTGACCCCCTCCCCTGCTCATGCTCTTCTTCTCTCCCTCTCAAATGAATAAATAAAAAATCTTTAAAAAAATATACAATAGCCAGGATATGGAAACAACTTAAGTGTCCTTCAATAGGTGAATGGATAAAGATGTGGCATATATACACAATGAAATAATACTCAGCCATAATAAAAAATGAAATCTTGCCATTCATGACAACATGGATGGACATACAGAGCATTATCCTAAGTGAAATAAGTCAGAGAAAGACAAATCTCATACGATTTCACTTATATGTGGAATGTGAAAAAAAAAACCAAAATGAACAGACAACATTTTTTTTGTTGTTGAGAAACAGAGTCATAGGGGCACCTGGGTGGCTCAGTCGTTAAGTGTCTGCCTTCGGCTCAGGTCATGATCCCAGGATCCTGGGATCCAGCCCCATTCAGGCTCCCTGCTCAGCAGGAAGCCTGCTTCTCCCTCTCCCACTACCCCTGCTTGTGTTCCCTCTCACGCTGTCTCTCTGTCAAATAAATAAATAAAATCTTAAAAAAATAATAAAAATAAAAAAACAAAACACCAACCATAAAAAAAAAAGAAACAGACTCAAAGTATAAACCAATGGTTGCTAGAATAGAGGGGGTTGAGGGGACAGGTGAAATAAGTGAAGAGGATTAAGAGCTACAAACTTCCAGTGGCAAAATAAATAAGTCAGTGGGATGAAAAGTACAGCATAGGGAAATAAGTCAATAACTTTGTATGGTGACACATGGTAACTACACCTTTCTGGGTGAGCATTTTGTAATGTATGTAATTGTTGCATCACTGTGTTCTACACCTGAAATTATATATAAACAATACTTCAATTTAAAAAATTGTACAAGTACAGCTGCACCTGGCTGGCTCAGTTGGTAGAGCATGTGACTCTTGATCTCAGGGTCATGAGTTCAAGCCCCATGTTGGATGTGGAGCCTACTTAAAAAAAAAAGAAAGAAAGAAAAGAAAAAAATTGGATAAGTACAAAAAAAGTTATAGAGAATACCTCACACTTATTTTGTGAACCCGCAAACCCAATCCAGCGTTATATAAGAGAATTCTACAACATGACCAGGTGGGATTTAATCCAAAGATGAAAACTTGGGTTCATATCTGAAAATCCATTATTGTTATAATGAAGGATATCAACAGAGTAAAAACTAAAATGGCAAGATCTTCTCAATAGCCTCAGAGAAAATAAGGCAAAATCCAATATGCTTTTTTAATTAAAGCATTCTGTATATCAGGAAAAGAAGGAAATTAACCTCATTATGAGCATCTGTGGAAAATCCAAACTAATATTATTTTTAGTGATGAAAGACTGGATGCTTCCCCCTGAAAGTAAGGAACAAAAGAATATCTGCTCTTGCCACTTATGTTTGGGGATGTACTGGCTATTTTAGCCAAAACTATTACCCAAGAAAAGGAAACAATGCATTAAGATTGGTTAGGAAGATGTAAAACTATCTCTCTTCCTATTGATATATCTTATTTTTAGAAAACTCTAAAGAACCCACTAAAAAAAAAACCCTCTTAGGATGGATAACTGAGTTCAGCAAGTTGGTTGGATATAAGATCAATATGGAAAAATGAATTGTAGTTCTGTACACTTGTAAGGAACAATCCAATAATGAAATTAAGAAATGCACTTACAATGAAATCAAGAGGAATAAAATACTTAGGGATAATTTAGCAAAAGAGGTACAAAATGAATACTCAGAGGGCGCCTGGGTGGCTCAGTTGGTTAAGCGACTGCCTTCGGCTCAGGTCATGATCCTGGAGTCCCTGCATTGAGTCCCGCATCGGGCTCCCTGCTCAGCGGGGAGTCTGCTTCTCCCTCTGACCCTCCCCAATCTCATGTGCTCTCTCTCATTCTCGCTCTCTCAAATAAATAAATAAATAAATTTAAAAAAATGAATACTCAGAAAGTATAAAACATGAGTGAAAGAAATTAATAAATGTGTAAATCAATGGGAAAGTGGATCAGAAGACTTAACACTGTTGAAATGGCACTAGCCCCTAAATGATCTAGAGACTCAACACAATACCTATCATGATCCCAGCTTATCCCCCTTATATAAATTGTTAAGATGGTTTTTAAAATTATATGGAATTGCAAGGGAATCAGAATACCCAAAGTACTCTTGAAAAAGAAAAACAAAGTGGTAGGACTAACATTTCTGGTAGTAAGATTAAGTGGTAGGAAGATGGGAAGATGGGAAAGTGAAAGCTAAGGGCTACAGGACTTTCTTTTTGAGGTGACAAAAATGTTGAAAAATTGTGGTGCTGATTGTGCATTATCTGTGAATATACTGGAAACCTCTGAATTGTACATACTAACGGGATGTATTTTATGGTGTTTGTATTCTATCTCACTAAAGCTATTCAAGTAAATAAATGCATTAGGGCTTTATTGAACACAACTTGCAACATCTGGTTGGTCAGAGAAGAGTAGCTTATGAATGGTCACTGAAGAGTCTGTGTGCCAAGGCTCGGGCTGTGGGGTTCAAACTTGCCACCAGAGCCAAGTGCGTGGGAGCCCACGGAGTGCTTTTCTTTTTTTTTTTTTTAGATTTTATTTATCAGGGAGAGAGAGAACAAGCAGAGGGAGCGGCAGAGGGAGAAGCAGGCTCCCTGCTGAGCAAGGAGCCCCATGCGGGACTCGATCCCAGGCCCCTGAGATCATGACCTGAGCAGAAGGCTGCCACTTAACCCACTAGGCCACCCAGGTGCCCGGAGCCCATGGAATTCTTCAGTTACTGTATAGACCGTTACTCTGAGGTATATAAAACTATGAGATGTTTTGCAAGATCCCAACTTGGAAAAAAACACATGAAAATTTTAAAAAACTCACTGACACCATTAGAAGAGGAATCACCGGTCCTGGGCGAAAACTAAGGCACAACCAGTTTGAGCCAGACCAGAACTGAAGCATGCGCAGAAGTCCCGAGCAACTGCCTAAGTTACCTTTAGTGCATTGCTAATACTAAAATCTTCCAGGGGCAGGGGTGTTCCACCGTTTTTTGAACTGCGACCTATGTACTAGCATGTGAACACACTAAGCATGCGTGATAAACCTAAAATGCCTAAGTAATAGAATATGTGTAAATTCCCTAACGCATATGCAAGCTTCCTGCCCCTGCCTCCTCAGCACACTAAATAAAAGATAATTGCGTTAAAACACTGCTTTGGGAAATACTCCCAGTGTTCTCTTTATTTGCTGTAAATAAAAGTCTTCTACACCAGACTGTACGTCTGGGACATGTTACTGCCTCACACTCTGGGAGGGAATGGACTCATTGAATTAGGTAACAACAGTCCCACAGGTGAGGGAGTGGAGAAGGAATGGGTGGAGCCTCAGAGCTGTCATCAAAGATCAAAATGGAACCAGACTCTTTATTGCGTGTTGTGAGGTCTTTTTTTTTTTTTTTTTATTTGACAGAGAGAGACACAGCGAAAGAAGGAACACAAGCAGGGGGAGAGGGAGAGAGAAAAGCAGACTCCCAGCTGAGCAGGGAGCCCGATGCAGGGCTCGATCCCAGGACCCTGGGATCATGACCTGAGCCGAAGGCAGACGCTTAACGACTGAGCCACCCAGGTGCCCCAGAGGTCTTTTTTTTTTAAAGATTTTATTTATTTATTTTAGCGAGAGAGTAAGGGGAGGGATAGAGAAGGAGGTAGAGAGAGAGTCTCAAGCAGACTTGCCCTGAGCGTGGAGCGGCCTCCCCGCTGGATCTCAGGAACCCAGCCAAAACCAAGAATCCCACCACTCAACAGACTGAGCCACCCAAGAGCCCCAAGGTGAGGTCTTTTTCAGTGTGTGTGTGTGTGTGTGTGTGTGTGTGGAGATTTTATTTATTTATTTGACAGAGAGACAGCTAGAGAGGGAACACAGCGGGGGGGAGTGGGAGAGGGAGAAGCAGGCTTCCCGCTGAGCTGGGAGCCCGATGCGAGGATCGATCCCAGGACCCTGGGACCATGACCTGAGCCGAAGGCAGACGCTTAACAACTGAGCCACCCTTAAGTGTGTTTGTAAGCAAGGGTCACAGGTCCATGAGTGGTTTCTCAGCCTCATGCCAACTCCTGAACCCAGGGAGGACCTCAGACCCTCTAGTCCCTGTCAGGCATTGCCTGGCCTGGTCAGGCGCCCCTCTTGCTCTGAACAAGGGCGTCGCTCCACTGGAACAGACTGGGACTCCCTGCGCACACCTGTGTCCCCACGTTTAGAGGAAGCTGCAGGAAGACGCCACTGTCCCTCTAGGGCCTGGACCAAGTTTGGTCTAAAAGCAAAAGTCCAAGGAGGGGACGGGTTCCCCACCACCCGCAGAGACTGCTGCGCCTCAGCAATCGGACCTCCGGCCCTGTTGTCACTCAGGAGCAGAGGGGCGGGTCCTTGCGAGCTGTCCAATCAGGGGCGCAGCAGGGGCAGGTGGGCGTGGCGACGCTCCGCAGCCGCGTGGACGCTTGCGGTCTTGCTCGCGGTCAAGTCTCCCCTGCGCTTAAGGGTCCCAGGTGGCCCTGCTGCCGCGTCAGTGGCGCGGGGACCTGCACCGGCTGCGGGAGCCGTAGGGACGACGCGGGCGGACCGAGAAGCCGGGAAATGGTGAGCGTGCGGGGCCGGGTGTGCCAGGACGGGGCGGAGGGGCCGGCAACGGGCCGCGGCGAGACCCGACCTCCCGCGGGAGCCCCGGAGTCTGCGGAGCCGAGTCCCCGGTGGCGCCGCTCGGACCTCAGTCCCCTCCGGCGCGCGGCGTGCGGGCTGGGCGGGCAGCCGGGACCCCGGAGTCCTGTCCGGTCCCTGCGCGCGGCCGCGTCTCCCCCGATCGTGCAGTGACCACGGGGAGGGTCGTCGGGGGACAGTCCTGACTCGGTGTCCGGGTTTCGTGCGCGGGAGGTGCTGTGGTCCGGGGGCTCCAATCCCTCCTTTCTCCCGGGGGGGCACCCGTTTTTTCCTGAGTGTTCCCGATGTTTGGGCAGCAGAGGGTCAAATCCACGACCCTGTCCCTCAGTCTATCCTTTCCTTGGACTGGCAAATGCTTGTTTCGAAATCCCGCCCCGCCTCCCCAGACGCCAACTTCCCCTCTTCAGTTCATAGCATCAGTACCAACTGTTTGTTCTCCGCGGTGCAATTCAAACAGACGCAGTATTTTAATTGTTTATCGTTTTCACGCAGTCAGGGGATGGCTCATTTCAAAAGGTTTATTTTTGTCCGGATATTTTACATGAGAGGAAGCAGAGAATAACCACCTGGAACAACGTTGTATTGAGTTCATTTTTCAATAAATGTAAAATTTATTTACGCAATAGACCTTGAAAGACAGTATGAAATATTTCCAAAGAGGTATGAAAGAAGTGTATTTAAGGAAAAAAAAATTCCAGTATTGCATTGCATGTATTAACATTTGTAGTTTCTCAATTTTTCTCTCCTGAGCAGGTTGTAGTAATATTTTGAGGTCTGTTACTTTTTTTTTTTGAGATGTGGGTGGGGTGATTTCAAATATAATTCCAGAGCTTAGACTTGAACTAGTGATTAACTGTTATAAAGCAATTTCTTGCCATGGAAATAATACTTTTTTTACTGTTTAACAGAAAAAAAAATACTTGTGGTTTTTTTTGTTGAACTCAAAAAATGTCTTCCTTTTCTTTCCTCCTTCCTTTCCCCATAAACATTGGGTTTAGTGATTTTGCGGGACTCTTCGTTACTGGGTTTGTGTCATTTAAAACATCTCTGGTGGCCCAGAGCGACTCCAGTGGTGGTCAGAGACCCCAGGTCAGTGTCTCTAAGATAAGGGGCCCCTTGAGCCTACAAAGGGAAGTATTTGAAGACCCAGTAGGTTCTTCCTGGGGAACCTCCCCCTGCTGGCCTCCTACCTGCTCACACCCACTAGAGAAGGAGCCTTTATACGGAGAGAAGCAACAGGGCCCTGCAAGGTGGGGATGCAAGTGCAGGGGATGCAAGTACGGGGGGGGGGGGGTTGCAGCGCAGATGTCTTCTAAGATTGTAACTGGTTTGGGGGGGCTTTTTCTAAACAAAGGATTTGAGGGGCGCCTGGGTGGCTCAGTCATTAAGCGTCTGCCTTCGGCTCGGGTCATGATCCCAGGGTTCTGGGATCGAGCCCCGCATTGGGCTCCCTGCTCCACGGGAGGCCTGCTTCTCCCTCTCCCACTCGCCCTGCTTGTGTTCCCTCTCTCACTGTGTCTCCCTCTGTCAAATAAATAAATAAAATCTTTAAAAAAAATAAAGGATTTGAGTCTGGCATCACATTGTAGGTGCACTCAGATTGTAATTTATTTACAATTTACTACATTGAGAAGGTCTGTGAAGGTCAGGAGTTCTGTGATGCCTTATGTCCTTTTGGTTAGAAAGAGTTTTGAAATTTTTCCTTTTGTATGGTTTGCACTTTTGTAACCATTAATGTTTAAAGGAATGAGATCTTAGAATGGTTTCTTATGTACAAAAGTTAAAATTAAATCAAGACTATTAAATAGTAAAATACAGTATACATAAATTTCTGTATTTTATTTTATTTTTTTAAAGATTCACTTATTTATGTGAGAGAGAGAGCAAGCGGGCGCTTCGTACCAACGTTTGTCCTTGAAATGAGCAGTCTCACTTTGCTTTTTTGGATGTTTGAGTGCTGACAGCTGAAGCCTTGTGCGCCCAGCGGGATGAACTGATGAGAAAGCCTGGGTGGTCTCGTCTCTAGAGCAGGCAGGAGATTCCAGCCGGAACAGCCCCTGCCAGTATGCAGATCTCTTCCCCTTGCCCTACTCCCCAACCCCAGTGACCTCCATACCCAGCCAGTCTCCTTTCTGTTCTTTGAAGCCGTTTCAGAGCTCCCTGGGAGGCCCTCTCTGCTCTGAGACCTCTGTTCTGTGAGTCCTAAGCCTTTCCCTACTGTATGGGTGTCTGTGTGTGTTTGGGGGGGGCCCACATAGCCATACCCCTCAACTTCTTTCTCTTTATTTATTTGAGAAAGAGAGAGAGCGAGGGCGGGGGCTGCGGGCAGAGGGAGAGAGAATCTCTGTGCCGACACACGGCTCTATCCCAGGACCCTGAGATCACGACCTGGGCCGAAATCAAGAGTCGGCTCAACCGACTGCACCACCCAGGCGCCCCCTACCGTGCACGTGGCCATGACAATGGATGCTGTGAGCCGCGTGTGCCCACGTGACCGCCATCTGTTTGCTCTTGCTTTGAGCTGCACACCTCCTCTGCGACCTGATGGTGGCAAGCACTGCTGGGTGCTGGGGAGCCCGTGCTTTGTGCCCTGTGGTGCCCCATGTTGCAGTGGTGACCCGACCACGTCTCCATTCTAGCTGTGGCCGGCCATTGCTGGCCACTGCAAGCATTTGAGGCATGCCCACCTTTACATGGCAATGACAAAGCTTCCCTTTCTGAACATTCATCCTAAACCTGAAATGAAAAGAACCTGCTCCGGGAACCACGGCTTTGGAAACTATTCCCCCAAGGTCTCCTTATTTGCTGCAAATAAAGTTTCCTTTGTGTAACAACTCCACCTGGTGTGGTCTCGGGTCTATAACCCAAGGAGGGAACTCACATGAATTTGTTGACACATTCTTGTCTTAATGCTTTAGCTCAGAATCCCAGTACAGGCAGGGTTGATTAGGATTGGTGAGAGGGGACATTCTTGCATTATTTCGGTGCTACCAGAAAGCATCTAATTCTTTCAGGGTCGGTGCACTTGCGTTAAACAAGAGCCCAGTTGATATAGAAGCAGGTAGGGGCAGAGGGGAAGCATTCTCTACTCCAGTGGTTTGCTCTCAATCTTTTAGTGAACCTATGTCCCCAGGCTTGACATCCTGATACATAAGAAGAAAGATATTTGGGGGGCACCTGGGTGGCTCAGTTGGTTAAGCATCTGCCTTCAGCTCAGGACATGATCCCAGGGTCCTGGGATCAAGCCCCGCATCCAGCTCTCTGCTCGGCGGGGAGCCTGCTTCTCCCTCTCCACCTGCTTGTGTGTGCTTTCTTTCTCTCTCTAATAAATAAATAAATAAAATTTTTAAAAAGAAAAAAAGGGTATTTGGTCCTTGTCCCCAGTTCCTAGCAAAAACCTCTTGAGGCCCTGGGAATTACTTGAGTGATAAGGGTGACAGAATATTTTTTTGTTTTAATGAGGAAACTATTGGCCAGCCTTTAGATAGCTTCAGGATGGGGCTGGACACTGGAAACACCAAGCCTTGACTACAGGCTTGGAATGTTCAGCCCCAGCTCCCAGACTCTAGAGAGAGGAGAGGGTCTAAGAGATTGAATTAATCACCAATGGCCAGTGAATCCTCATGAAAACCCTGAAAGCCAAGATTCAGAGAGTTTCTGGGTTGGAAAGCACAGGCAGGTGCCGGCAGG